CGCTTTGACCCTGTAGCTCCACCACAAGACAGTAAAAAATCAATTTAGAAGGTTGTTATGCACAGTGTCACCATGGCAACCATAAAATTTCAAAATTTCTCTGCGCAAACTAAATGTCCAAGAATAATTCATTTGAAACACCCGTGAGACCCTCCCGTTGAGGGAGGGTCTGGCTACGCGAGACTAGTATCACATTATAGGCACGTTAGACACTCTCCCTAAATAATTATCCACTCTTGATACTGCTCTAGTGTAATCTCGCTAGCCAGACCATTCCCAGCCTACAGTCAAGCAATGTACCAGACCCTTCCCCACCATCCACTGAAATGTCTGTAGCTGGGGAATGGTCTGCTACAAGTGGTAGACTCACATGCTTTACTATTAAAACTATAATAGCTTTGATGTGAGGCATGTGATTGTTTGTGTGATGGCTTTGTAATAACAAGGGAAATTTCACACAAGTCTGATACATTACTGTACTTGTCAGATTAATGTTAGAAACATGAAGCCATATCAATTTAGTTACTATAAACTTTCTAAGTACATGAAATAGTTAAAAAATAAGTTATAGATAGTTAGTTGACAACTGGTTCTAGTTCATCAACAGTGACACTTGATGTACGAGTGTATATACTGGTAGGTAGTACCTGCATTTGTTGAAGCAACTGTTTCTCTTGTATAAATATCACTGTGATAGCTAAGCACAGCTTCTTGTGACCTTTCATTCTCTTTTATTCTCTTCTTTCTTTGCTTCATCTTACACTTCAATATACATAAATGAATAATAACAATAATACCAGTGATAAAACCAGAAGAGGATATTAAAGAATAGAGATACACACCATTAGAAATATCACCAGTGTGATAATAGACAACTAAAAGAGGGAAGAAAATCATTGCCATTACTGTATTAACTATTGGATATACTACTATAGTAGGGCCACACTGACTTTGCACTGTTATTATAAAAGCAGTCTTGGTGGTCACTTTTTAAGCAGCTGCTAATTGATTGTTAAGTGTTTATTATATAGGCGGTAGCCTATATGTAGGATTGAGGTTGATTTTTCAAGATGGCGGCCGTTTTTATGATTTTCAAACACTCATAACTCTTTTATCTTACGTTGCACAGCCTTATAAATGGCTTAGATGAGCTCTCCTTCACTGAGCGATTCTCCTGGTACCTTTAAAGTGAACTGTAATGTAGCGGGAGCATTTCTGGAAAACAGGCCCAAATTCAAATTTCTACAAAATTCTTCAGACTTTTTCTTCTTCTTCTTCTTCTTCTTCTTTCATCTTCTTCTATGCACCGGATAATCTTTTAATCCAGAGAACCGCTCAAGTTGCCTTTTACATCACTCTTCTGGGCTTGGGTCAAGGACCACAAAGGTAGTTTCAAAAAGAAGCGAGGACAGAGAACAAAATAGAAGGCAAAATCCAGCTGCAGCCACCGCGTGGTTTGTGGTTTGACGCCATTTTAATTTATGCGCACGTGATCAGCATGAATATAATTAACCTAACCACAGAATCATAACAGAATGTAATTTCTTATTTAAGAAAAAAGAATGGAAACAAGTAAATAAAAAACATTAAAAATGGGAAAATAGTAGGATTGAATTGGGGAAAAAGTAAGGAAACAAGAGGGTACTTGCAAACTGGTGTGGTAAGAAATCCTACACCACTGCATGAAGATTACTACCCAAAAGCATAGCAGTTATCCACACAGCCAACTATGATAGCACTATATGAAGCCTTTATTTTTTATGCAGTGGTGTAGCATTTCTTAC